TCAAAATACAGTAAAACAAATATACAATAAAAATATAACAGTAAAAACTTTTTTATTAACTATTGAAATATATTTTAAAATGTAATTTATTCCTGTGATGGCAAGCAGTTTACTCTACATTACTCCAGTCAGCGTCACATGGTCCTTCAGAAATCATTCTAATTTAATGAGTTGGCGTTCAAGTAACATGTTGAATAACAGCTGTACTGCTTAATAGTTTTGTGAAAACTGAGATACATATTTCTCAGAATTCTTTGATGAATATAAAGTTCAAAATAATTTATTTATTTAAAACAGAATAAAAAAACTAAATAAAGTATTAATTTCTTTCTGACCCTCTGACCCCAAACGTTTTGACTGGTAGTGCACATTTATTCATTTAGCAGAATATAATCATATTTTTGTTTTTTTGCACTCACAGAAGAAGGTTGAAGAGGCAATTTCAGTGCAGTGTGGACAATGAAGGTGAGGATGGTTGCTAGTGTGTGAACTATCGTTGTAAAGGAAGTGTTTAAACTCTGAACATAACCAGCCTTTTGTAATAGCAACTTCTCACTTTTCCTGATATCTAGGTTTTAAAAAATAAGGTAAGAATGGATGAGAGAAAATACTTCATTTCAGAGTCATGCGTAAATAATAAAAAACGGATGGATGGACAACCTGTGACTGTTTTCTCAAAAGACTCCTCCCACGCATACATCTTAATGAGTTTGATGCAGGTCAGAACCTCATTCATTGTGCGAACACGTCTGTCTGTCACAGATACAGCCCGTCTTCTAAACACACCAATCAGTCTGGCAATTGAGAACTACAGTGCACACATACAGACACACAGGGAAAAATCAACAAAATATTACTGAGATGAGTAAATATTAAAAACACAGTACAGAAGAGACCAGCACACCTGTATTGGTAGGAAGATCAAGTATACCAGAATTCCAATAAGCGCTGTGTATCCCAGAATGATGCAGGCATATATAATACATATGATCAGCAGGAACGGAACACACAGCAGAAACGTTCCAAACATGATTGCTTCAAACATCCGATAGCCATCACTCGTCAACACGTTTATCGTCTACACCAAAGCATGAACACAACAAGCTCTATTTGTATTGTATATCATTTAATTAATTAAAAAGTGATTGGTAAAAGAGGGTAAATAAACACAAATAAATTCCATATCAAATAACCAATAAATAGATTCTACAAACGATAAAAGGACCATATTCACTGCTGAATCAACAATCAATAGCTTACCTCTCCTATACTAATGCTGGTTAGACTCCTGAGAGAGATGATTTTCTTGAAAGCGAGCATTGAGAAAGCTCCCTTCATTTTCACAGCGGTGCGCAAATTCACAGCCCACAGGAGCCATGAAAAAAGTGCCTTGCTAAATTCACTCAAGTACAGGGCCACACACAAACCGATGCCATACAACAGTGTAGATGACTCAGGCTGCTCAATGTAGCTCAGGATTTCATGCACTAAAATAGACTAGAAGGCAGATTTTTTTTAAAAACATAGTTTATAAGAAATCAAAATTGAGTTAGAACTACTTCATTCTACTTCATAGATAATTTGGCTTTAGTACAGTGACAATATAAATTATTTAATTTAATAAACAACTTTACAATAGCAGGCTTAATTTTTTCTCACAAAAAAAGTATAAATGGGGTTATTTATATATAAAAATATACAGTTGCTACCACATTTTTGCAAGTGGGACCCTCAAAAGGGTATCACCTTCAATATAAAATATAGAGCACTATAAGGAATATGAAAGTAATATGTTTTATTCATTTTTCAACAGAATGATGCTGTGTAATGCTAAGCCATTTTACATACCGGACCAACAAATGCTCCGAAAGCAAACAGGACAGAGATGAAGAATGACACTATAAATCTTGTCTTCTGGAAACGCATGACCACTGCAGGAAGAGATGCCTCCTCTAGACCCACATGGGCGACTTCCTCGTCCCAAAGTCTTTGGAACCTGAACACAACAGAAATAACAATCTTTTGTTATTTTCCTCTCTCTCTCTCT